AATGACACACTTGAGCTCATCGACGAAGTTGAATCCTTTACAGATAAGTTTGAGTTGGTGACAACACTCACGAATTTCACTCTCTTTCTGCTTGAGAACGGCTTCCAGTACCTCAATATCGGTACTAAACTTGTTGATATCATCCTTAAGAAGATCACCGCGAGCGGTATTTTGGTCATACAGGGTTTTCACATCTTGGAGGATGCTTTCAACTGTTTTTGTTTTTTTCACAGGCTTCTGGTTGGTACCACAGTGGGATGAAGGGTAACATCCACATTTGATGCAGGGGATTAATCCAAAGGTGCACCAACCAAAAACTTTCAAACTGACAGTTGATATTATACCGCTTTCATAACATAACTGGCATTCAGCATGATTCATGCAAATCCAATTGTAAAGATCGGTATCCACCATTTCTGTATATTCGACCTGCTCTTGTTTTTTAAAATTGGAGTATTTCTCGATATTTCCAGTAATGGCATCATGATTCTTCTTAGCAGAATCCAGCTTACTCTGCGTTTCCTGTAGTTTATTCACTTCCTGCAAGATTCCAGCAAGCTCAGCCTTGATCTTATCTCTCTTCTCGCGCATTTCTTTAAACGCATTGGTAGCAACAGATCCCAGCTTTTCCATTCGCTGTATCATATTACCTATTTCCTCCATTGATGTGTCCCATTCTTTGATTAGGCCCGCCTTTCTTCGGTTGTCGTTAATCCATAAGTCCTTTGGTTTGCTCAAGGCAGAGTTATTCATGTAAAATACATTTTCATCAGAAACTGTCCATCCCTCGAGGGATCTCAGATCGAAGTTAGCTGAAGAAATCGAGCAGTTAGTAAGGACGACGATGAGATTGTTCCGAAGGATGTCTGGTACAGAACCTCTTAAACGTGACAAAGTGTTACGCATGTTCACTGTTTGTCTAGCCACCGTACCATTAATGACAACTATGATAGCCGTCATAAATCCAGATTCCTCCGCAGTTCGCATGATTTTATCAATATGCTGGTCATCTTTATCCGTTCCTTCGGTATCACTGAGACCAGGGGTGTCGATGAAGTTGTAAAGACGATTAGCTTTTGTGAAATCGTAAACAGTGCATTCACTAGTCTTACTCTTCGTTACATCGTGGAGATTCAACTCCGAGGTTTGATGCTTCTCTGTCGCTTGATGATACTGAGTAGGAATAGCGATTGTCGGTTTTTCGAGTGATCCGCCTTTGAAGTAGTTTGTCAGATAGTTTATCAGCGTAGATTTCCCGGAGCCTGTCTCTCCA